TATATATATATATATATATATATATATATATATATATATATATATATATATATATATATATATAACAAAAAGATTAAACATAGGTGGTGTTTAGGATTAAATTAGGAATAAGATAGTTTGCCGGTCAAAAAATAATAATAATAAATAAAGTAATTAATGCATATTAAATGCTGAAGATTTAATTAATATTCATTTTATTTTCAACATGTAATATATATTAAAGACTTTCTTAAAATAACTAAAATGATTGGTCCACAATCAATCTTACAAACACACAATAGATAGTTAAAACACAATAACCTAACACACACAAGTATCAATATTATTTGATCAGTAAGAAACTATATATGTTTGTTATGGCATCAATAAGTACTTAAAAAGGTGAAACTTATTATAATATCTTTAACCTCTCTTTTCCAGAAAGTTAAAGATGTAATATAAGTAATTTGATTTTGTCTGTGTGGATTCCATTTGTGATAGGAAGCACATGGATGCTTATAAGTTATAAGAAAACCAGTAAATTAATAACATATAATTTGTAAATAGTTACTTTTTTTTAACAGTAAGAAAGATTTCAATCCAAGTTATAACAAAACAGTAAAATAATAACATAGCATTTGTAAATACTTACTTTGCTTTGATCTCCTAATTAACCAACCCATGTATGTTTGCAGAAATGCAAGAAACGATGAAAGATATTGACAAGGGTGTCCAAGACAAGCTCACTGGGGAAGGAAAGGAAATATACATGTAGGATGCTATCCATGTGGTAATTGCATGACGTAAAATGTCTGTCCAATTTTGTATTAAAAAAAGTTCAAATTATGATATACAAAACTGTCGTATTATGACAGTCAAATGTATATCGTTCCTCTATGTTAGGGTTTTCAATAATATACATTAGTCTGTAAACTATATCTTTTTTATGACAGACATTGCATGTCATTAAATAATTTATAGTCTTTCCCTTTAGGTAATGAGTACGAAAGAGATGTACATATATGGAAAATTTTAACTAAAACAAGATATTACATATTCACCTAAATATATAAACAAGAATAGATATCCGGTTGAGTTTGGTGACATGATTGACTAATAATTATATTAATCACAAATCATATATTTAGAAAAAGTTATTGTTGCGGAATACAAGTGGAAACAAACAACACATACGCAATCACTCTTTCAAAAAGTTATTGTTAACGTTGCCGAATACAAGTGGAAACAAACAACACATACGCAATCACTCTTTCAAAAACACACCAAAACAGATACACACAGGAAATGTGGTAAGAAGAACCATCAATTATTAATTGGATCTCATAAGTGATGATTCAGCTTCAAAAACTTGCAAAGATCGTCACATTCGCCAGGGGGACCCCAGACAGTAAAATAAGTTTGAACACCACTAAGAAATAGAGCCACCACAGCTCCTACAAGCGCTAGAAATGACCACGGGCTCTTGATGTACTCGTGCTTGAGTTGGGAAAACCTTGTGTTCCTCAAGCTGTCGTAATGTTTTTGGATTTCGTACTTGGCTTTCGAATAGGCTAAATTGTTTGGCACCAAATCCGTCCCTATTTCATTGAACATCGTCGCAACTTCTTTGTCACTCCCAAGGGAGTTATCAAGGACCCCAGCTTTCCGAAGAGCCTTAACGTCCTCAGGATGATCGATGAGAGAATCAAGGAGGCATATATAGGAGGTAACCCATGCATCATGTGCGTCTTCTGCGCACATTTCATAGGCTATTAAGTTTAATAACATGGGCTTGGTGGAATCGTCCACGGTTATCGGAGGTAGTTTTACATTTGCTGAAAACCACCACCACCGTCCAACAAACTCCACATGAGCCAAAGACATAACGCTACTCGGCTTAAATTGGATCCCAACATCTGCAAGCTCATTAACATTACGAAAAGTACATCTGTTGCTTATTTCATCCTTTTGGGCATCGTCTTCACTTGTTCGTGTAAGGCTAGAATGCAGACGATGGAGCAGATGGTGATGATCTGCTACCAATTTCGAACCGAAATATTGATCATTTTGGGTTGAACCGCTTCGGAAACCGAACCACCCTCTTTTCTGCCTCCCTGGTACCAAAATGTTGTTAGTGAAGAACGATCTAATCTTGTCACGCCTTTCAGTCAGGTTTATCAAATTCATCACCTCGTTTATAACTTTGAAGGGAATTTGGTTTTCCAGCAAGAACAAGTCTTGTTGGATAAACACAATCTGATGGCTTCTCAACTCTTTACAACTTCCAGGTTTCTCTCCGTAGATAAATAGAATATAATACAAAATAAAACATCCATCGAGCAACATCATCATAGTAAATTCCTTACTGGAGAGATGGTCTGTTGATCTCTCTTCATAGAAATTCCGTAACTCTTGCACCATGCTCCCTGTCCCAAGCTTTTTGTACAACGTACTAAGGCCCACCTTGTACTTCGAGAGGAGCTCCTTCGTGAAAACAGGCTTGAGTTTCTCGACTAACTCGAGCTTCTGGTTATTGTGATGGTATGGACCAATGGAAACCACCTTCGGAACATAGTATTTCTCGTAGATATCGCTCGACTCGCACACCAATATCTTCGGAACTCTAGGGATTCGTGCAGATGACAAAGGTGGTGGGATGGCTTTTTCAATCGAGTCGATAACCCATGCCTCATCTTCGTTCTCGATGCTGCTTGCATTAATATCATCGTGCGTTGCCATTTTTGGATCTGGTAGTTTAGTATCAGTCGTTAATTATGGGATTGTAAGAAAGTGTCGATGGTCTTGTCTTGGTATATACATGCATATAACAACGTTAACTTTGTTTCCCTAAGAAGATAGGAATCATGACAGACATCTTTTGAGGTGAAGTATTATTAGATAAATACTTTGATGGCACAGACGAGGAACGCATGTTGCTTTTTCCTTTAATTAAAGAATAAAATAAAACGAAACTGGGGTGCATACAGATCTAGGTCTATTTGAAAATTAAAAACGAAAAATTAAAATTCGGATGACATAATTGCATAAATTCATGAAATTATACTTTTTACTTCTAATTTGTGCATTCCATATGATAATTGTATCAATGGAAAAATATCCACTTTTATAATCACGTTGACACATTTATTGACAATTCCATTTCAGAGTAACTAATCAAATTTAATTAATTATATTTAACAAATAAATTATATTTTAATATAGATTAATAAAAAAGAAATAGAAATTTGTGGCACATATTTACGGAACATGACAAACTCATAATTGAATCGGTATTGCTAAATATGCTTATGAAAAATGGATGCGCTAAACTTATAAACTTATAAACATGTCCATAATATATTAAGATTAATGCTCTAAGTTTTTAAATTATCTATTAAGAACAATCGCAAAGGTCGGTTTTCAAACCTCAGAACAATCAACGTTTTTCATTGCACTTGATTGGTCCATGCCACATGGCTTAATCTGTTTACATATGTAATATATTTTTGAAAGTGCTTTTTTCGAGCGTCAATTGAGTATTCTAGTAAATATGTTAATTAAATTATCAAGTAAAATGAGTTATTAATTATAATGAAACATATTCTTAACTTGATGTATGAATAAAGTTACTCATGTAGTGTTTCATGTTGTTGTGACAAAGTACTATAATATATGAAAATATTATAGTGAAGTACACTTTCAACTCAAGTTAGAGACATTTTGTCGTGCAAAAGCATAAACCTCGTGAATATAAATACTATGAAGACTTTTGGACCCTGCTAATTAGCACCATCCAAGGATAAAGCTAAAAAAAACTCAGGATATTAATATAATATATAATGTTAATAGGTTAAAAACTCATATACTACATGAGTTGGCAACTTAAAATAACAAAAATAATACATAGTAAATAAGTTGGTGTACAATAATAAACAACAAAATTCAAATCTATGTATATAAATAAAAACTAAGAAATAAAAAAAATTGTAAATTAACATTTTAGTGAGAGATCCAACTATTAACCATTAAACTTTGATAGACTCAAGATAAGAACCACAATAATACATGGTAGTATCCTAATGTTCTAATGTAAGAATTTGAAAGATGAACTAAAGTGATTGAGAGAATAGAAGTTTTTCTCATTACAGACATGGAGTCGTTGCATACTTATACAAGAGAAAGAAATCAATAAGTTATTCTAACAACATAACTAACTACTCAACATAATATAAGCTAAATAACACAAATGCCCTTATATATATAATGATAGAATTGTCCTTGAGTTGATTAAGCTAACAACCCCAAGATGGAGGCAATGAATACAAACCTCACTTAGTTGTAGCATGATGATGATGTGGTCCATTGAGAGGCTTTGTCGTTACATCAGCTAACTAATGTTGAGTTGAAACATGTGATAAGAAAATGAGTCTTAAAGTTTCTCTCTAACGAAGTGGCAGTCTAACTCGATATGCTTTGTGCGTTCGTGATAAAAAGGTTAGTTGTAATGTACATCGTTGCTTTGTTATCACATTTCAAAGGAATGAGTGTTATTCTTGGTACTTCAAACTCAGCAAAAAATCGATTAATCCATGTACGTTCTGAACAAACACGTTGCATGGATCTGTACTCCACCTCAACAAATGACAAAGAAACAATACCCTCTTTCTTAGACTTCCATGAAATATGATTGCCACCAAACATGATGAAGAAACCACTGATAGAGCGTCGTGTAAGAGGACAGGTGACCCAATCAGAGTCATAGTAGGCTTTAATGTTGTAAAGAGAATTATCTTTGAAGTGAAGCCCTTGATCTATAAAACCTTTTAGATATCTTAACATATGAAGAGCAACATCATAATGAGCTTGACTTGGAGTTTTGTTATACTGATTAAGATATTGTACAAAGAATGTAATATATGGTCTTGTATGTAAAATAAAGTTTAACTTGTCAATCAACTATCGATAAACAAAAGGATCTTTCAAAAGATTATCCATTTATCTATTTTTGGTAGTAAAGACAACTTTGATGGCGCCAAAGGCATTTTCACAAAATAAACATCTGTCATAGAATAAGATTGTAATAAATCTTTGATAAATTTTGGTTGATGTACCACCATCCCATCTTTGAATTTAATGAATTTAAGACCATGAAAAAGATTTATATGTCCTAAATTACATAAATGCCCTTCTATACATTATGACAAAATTGTCCTTGTTGAGTTGATTAAGCTAACGTCTAAAAATCCCAAAACATAAGGTAATCCTATGTACAAAAATTGAAAAAATAACATACAACTCAAAACGAAGAATAAGCATGTACTTTACAAAGAAACTATCTATAAAAGTTAAACCATCAAAATAACTAAAAAGTCGAATATCAATATATCATATCGAATTCAGCAACAAATGAAACTTAGTTTGCTGAAGTAGGCAACTTTAGATACTTCATGCTTAATAAATAAGCTTTTTGGCTTTACATAGCAATGGAATTAATGAGAAAGTGGGAAGCTAAAGTGGAACCTTCTATGCATAAACGACTTCAAATAACAGTGGAACCTCTTTTAATTGAATACTATTGTGTTGTGTTTTTCTAATTTTGTTTTACTTCATAACTATGTGAATCTTGTGATGGCTTTTGTGGTTCGTCTGTGTGAGACATTGCTTTCTCTAAAGCTCGTCGGTGGGCTTATATATGATGTGGCTGTCACAACTGCAACACATTCGACTCCAAGCTTTAATTGTGTAGAAGCTTTTTGTAACATCCCAAAAATCATAGAAAATAAAATTTTTCAAAAACAACTCATTAACCATAAAATGTTTACAAAAACCATTGTTACAAAAGTATAATCATAATCAGAGTATCCCAAGATCCAATATCATAAAAACAGGAAGATGTGCACGATCACACCTTCACATTCCCATAATCCTCTGAGGTACCTGAAACAATAAATTGAAACCGTAAGCCAAAGCTTAGTGAGTTTTCCCAAAGTACCATCACACAACATAACAAACAATAGCATGCAAATATGAGCCTTCAGCCTGACTGGGCCACCTCGCAGAGTCTACAACCTATTTGGACCGTTCTTTGGGCCTTCTGTATGACTGCACCGCCTCGCAGGGCCTACAGCCTATCCAGACCGCCCCGAGTATCTTGACATTTAGCTCAAAGCAGGATCGTGTCAACCCAACCACAATATGTCGATATATGTAACACATAAGCATAAACACACATCCAGCAAATACAGATAATCATGCAGATCTACTAATCAATCATATAACTAGCATAACACCATCCTATAAACTAGGATACATAACTTAGTGGGCTGGCGTTGGTGCCTTCGACCCACCAGTACAGTGAGACTCACCTCCCAGTCTGAACGATAGTTGAATAAATCTCTGCTCCGAATACCGGCTCTACTCGTCACCTATTAATTAAATTATGGCCTAACTTAACTTAATATCAAAATACCCAAAATACCCTTTGGTCAAAATTGGTCAAACCCTGGTCAAGGTCAAAACTCAACAAACCAGCCGAGTCAACGCAACTGAGTATGTTGTGCGTACTCAGCTGTACGCGGGGCGTACTCAACTTGACCAAGAAATCGAGGCATTGACCGCGTATGCATAGCGTACCATTTGGTACGTACGTGCCTGGACACCTCACCTTCTTATTAAGAGCTTAATCCTTAAGCTCTTTTGCTCATATTCCAGATCTAGACCTTAACTCACGTCCTTAACCGTAAAGTTTCTAACTTTATGTTATAACATGGCTAGGAACTGTCCAATAACAAAAATCCTAACTAATTAACCCCTTAAGACCTTGTAACTCATGCATGGAAGGAAACTAACAATCAAGATTGCATTTTTATACTTCTAGATGCTCCAAAACATCTGAAAGGATAACTTATATGGATTAGAGTAACCCATACTCATAATACCAAGCTTATGGGACTAAAAGAACACCATTTCATGACTAAATGAGATCTAATCAACACTTAACCAAGTCCAGAGCTTTTTACCTCCAAAAGATGGCAAATGATGATGTGGTTCTGGATCCAAAGTGTCCCACTCCTCCAAGATGATCTTCTCTTCTTCCTTCCTCCTTCAATGTCACCAAAATACACTCAATAGCCCACAAATGCTCACAAAAGGGTTTGGGTTTGCAAAAGGGTCGAAGTGAGGTTGGGGGTTGATGGAAGGGAAAAAGCTTGGGACTTAAGGATGCTTAAATAGGATCGAAACCCTAAAAATTAGGTTTTTAGGTTCTGGCATGTACGCCCAACGTACGTGAGCTCCGACCAAGATTTGCAAAAATGCGTTATAGGCCATTTTGCAACACTTCTCATACACAAGGTCTAAAATGAAATAATCTCCATACTTAGGATTAAAATTTGGAAATACCTCAACATCAGGATGTTACAATTCTCCCCCACTTGAGCTAGACTTCGTCCTCGATGTCCGCTGCTGTGAACAAATCAGGGTAATGCTCCCGTATCTCAGACTCGGGTTCCTACGTCCATTCGGATCCCTTCTGATGCTATCACTGAACCTTGACCAAGGACACCACCTTGTTGCACAAGGCCTTTGTCTTCTGATCCGAAATCGCCATTGGTCTCTCAATGTAATTCAGGCGATCATCAACCTGAACATCATCTAGAGGAACAACCGTTGATTCATCAGCCATACACTTCTGAAACTGAGACACATGGAAGGTGTTGTAAATCTGACTAAGCTCCTCA